ACATTCATTTATGTGCTAATACCATAGGGAAAGGTATGAATTCTCTTCTTTTTCTCCCCAGCTATGGATAAATAGCAGGACAGACTAGGTTCTATAGCCTTGGATGGCAACTGGTCTACCATAGAAAGAAATAGCAACCTACTGCAGAAAAAAATCTGCCTCGTCAGTCATGCATCCCGAAAGATACATATATCACCTAAGCGTGTATCATGCATGGCACATAACTGATAATATATATATATATATATATATATATATATATATATATACACACACACACACACACACACACATATATATATATAAATATATATGCACACATATATATATATATAAATATACATACATATATATATATATACACACACAGTGAGTGTCAGGTATCTGAGAACATAGCTTTAAAATGCAACAAATAGAAGATAATGTTACATGGCATGCACCAAATTTGAATGTTTTCATTTCTCTTTCAGATGTATCAAGGTCATTAGCATCAGTTCCTACGACAGGGCTTCAGGCTCAATGCCAGCATCTACAAGGTCCTAGACATGGTAGCCAACCTCTTGTTTGTGGGAGTGCACCAGGGAAGGCTTCATGAGCTCAGGCAAGACTCTACTTCCGGTCCACCTGCAGATCTAAAGACCCAAGAGCAGCTGTCCAAGAATTTTCATGATCCTGTCTTCTTCAACATCTGGCTTACAACCTCTCTAAAATTTCAGTCTTCCAGATGACCATCTGGTGTAGCATCGAGTGCGAAACTAACCAGTGGCCCCACAGAACTAACAAGATCGATGAGATGACCAACTCAATAAGAATCGTATGATTCAGGCTTGCATCGTAAAGATGACCGACGTGAAAAGAAACTGCCCAACCCAAAGCAGCATGGAAGACGTCTCATAAGATGAGAGTCTATATATATATCATATATATATATATATATATATATATATATATATATATATATATATATATTATAAAATGATTTATTTAAAATATGGTTTTTTTTTAAGCTACACAGTTCTAACCATGTTTCAAAAATAAAAATATCTATAAGATTCCATTTTGAAACATGGTTAGAACTGTGTAGCAAAAAAAAAAAAAACATATTTTAAATAAATCAATTATAATATTAATGCTCTGTAAATTTACATTGAGCACTATTTTGTAAAATAAAAATATCTATAAGAACACGGATTATATATCTTACTGTTCTTTTTTTTTATTTATATATACACACACACATATATATATACACACATATATATATATATATATATATATATATATATATAAAATTTATGTATGAACAAACACAAAATGAAAACTCATCTTAGAAGATGCATGTCATCCTCTGAGGGATTTTATCAAGGCAAATTTCCCTTGATAAATTCAGAGGACAAAATGCGTCAGATCAGGAACTTTTCCTTTCGTCTTTATTTATAGTGTTCTTTTACATATATATATATATATATATATATATATATATTATAAACATACAGCTTATAATGTAATTAGAATTGTTCTCAATACCTGCCACAGCCTGTACCTGTATATATACATATATAAAATGCATACACATATATGCATACATACATAGTATATACATGCTTACAAAATACAGACATATATAATACACATATACATACCTACACAAATATATACATACATACATACACAAATATACACACACATACATAAATATAAACACAAACACAAATATACAAGCATGCACAACTATATACATACATATGACAGCTGGCCACTCATATTTGTTTGTTAGGATGGCTAGCTAATCCCTATTGTAGATGCTTGCTCAGGCACATCTGTGTTTCTTTACCACCCACAGAACCCACCTCTGGCTTATACTGCAACTAACCTGAACAGGCTTTAGTTATAGCTTCTGGGAGAGAGCATATAAACTGGCATGATCACTATTCTGAATAAAACCAGTACACTCAAACCTCGGTCACGATGACTTACAACTTTTTGCACTAACATCTATGGCTTCCGAACATCCAATCTACCCAATTTCACTCACAAGGCTTGGGTCAACCTATAGTTTCATTTTCAGGCACTTCCCAACTGTTAGCTAATCCCTGTTGTAGACCTTTGCTCAGGCACATTTGTGTTTCTTTACCACCAACAGAGCCCACCTCTGGTTTGTACTGCAACTTAGCTGAACAGGTTGTAGTTATAGTTTCTGGAAGAGAGTGCATTATCTGGCATGATCACTACTTTGAACAAAACCAGTACACTCAAAGCATCGGTCACGATGACTTGCAGCTTTGGGCACTATCATCAAGGGATTCTGAACAGTTCTGTCTACCCAATTTCACTCACAAGGCTTGGGGTCAAACTGTGGTCTCATTTTCAGGCACTTCCTAATCGTGCCGCATGCCGGGATTGTCACTTTGGGCCGATATTATCAAAAAGCACATCCTTGGCAGATCAACCATGGCAAGATTCAAAATCTGCGTTTCATGTTCAGAACACTCTATACTCTAACCATTGACCACATACATATGCGCACATGCTGCATACACACGCACACACATACATACATACTTTTCAATGATCAACCATGATTGCTATAACGTTTTGCTATTGTCTATTTGAAAATAATGAGATTCTGCAGCTATAGATGCACTTACTCTAAAAGCCAATGATGCATGCCTTAACTAAGGTCCGCACAAAATACAGCCCACGGGTGAGCATGCAGCCCATGAGACGACTCCATGTGGCTCGAGCGTGATTTTTAAATTCATAAATTTTTGCAATTATCACTTAAACAATACCTGCCCAAAATGCAGCCCATGAGATTAGCTAGTGTGGCCCAAGTGTGATTTTCAAATTAGTAAATTTTTCGTGATCATCAGAATTAACATGGCAACTGATCTCATACAAAAATTAACTTTCGTGGAAGCATGACTTTATTTAACCAATATTTGTTTCTTTTTATCATAACATTGTCTTTGGGATTTATTAGCGCCAACTTTTTTCAATCAGTACTTTACTCTAAGAATTTACTTTTGCAGCCAGTGGCTAATTTTCTGCGAACAATGTGGCATTTCACATTCTTTAATTGTGCAAGCCTACCTTAATTTTAAAAGTAATCTTTTTTGTCTACATTAACCTAATTGAACAGGAAAACACCACCTGAAAATGATTATCAACAACAGTATCACCTGAACAGAGAATAAGGACACGGTCCTTTAATAACGAGAGGAAAAGCAGGGAACAGGCATGAATGATTTCTGAATTTACACTGTCAGCCTCCAAAAAGTTTCAGTGTCAGGTTAGTGGTTTGTTACGATAGGCGAATGTTTGGAAGGACCTTCACTCTCTTAGTTTGGTCATTCCAGCAATAGTTTTTGGCTATTTCTCTTGGCAAACCAATATAGAGCCCAATGACCCATGAGTGGGAAGCCGACAAAATGTCTGAGAGTTGGGGTGCATGATTTGAACGTCTCCCTCTTCTCCCTGCCATTTGGTTCTTTGATGTCTTTTCTCTCCCCCACCTTTTCGTTGATCGCGGGATGCGTGGAGCTGTGCCTTGCTGGGAGATATCGTCTTGTTGCTGCTTGGTCTGTATCGGTGTCTTGTTTTGAGTTTAATGGGGGACCGACACAGATAATTGGTACGCAGGAGCTGGGTGGGGTATAAGTGGTCAATCAGTGGCATGCAGCAAGGGTGCTAACAGATGCTACTGCCTTCCAGAATCGTTGAACAGTCAATGGCATGATTCCATTCTTGAAGCATTGAATATTTTGAAGATAGGTAACCAGCTGATATATGGTAGGTTTCATTTGAATGGTATGGAGATTTCTAACCACCATGAACCACAGGAACCTGAGATTTGTTAGTTTAGAATTAGCAGCAATGGTATGGCAAGGGCATCCAGCGTGTAGTGATGGTGGGTGTGGTCATAATGGGTCTGCAGTTAAGCAATGAAGAAACCCACCAAGACGTTATAGTTCCAAATCAGTCGTAGGTGTGTTCACATTAAATATGTTGGGCGTGCGTGTGTATGTGTAAAACTAAAACAGGAATCATACACATAGATGCAATAATGACAGAAAGAAAGAAATACTTTATGACTTACAAAAGAGAATTTTAAAACATGTCACAGGAGAAAAAAAAAATTATCATCTGTAATAATCTTTTCAACATTTTTACATAAGAAAGCCTTAAAAAATTTAAATCTTTTAAAAAAAAATTATCCTGAACAATAAAAAAAAATAGGTAGAAAGAATTTTTTGAATTTAAATTTTTTTATAATTTAAATATTATGTAAAATATTACAAAAAAATTATTTAACAAGTTTTTTTTTTTTTTTAAAATATGCTAAGCCATAAAAAGTTTTTTTTTTAAATCTGAATTTCAATCTTCCAGCCCTAAAAGAAATATTTATAATTTTGAAAGCTCTTTTAAAATAAGGCCATATATATATATATATGTGTGTATATATATATATATATATATATATATATATATATAAATGTGTGTATGTGTATAAAACTGTTGTAGGTAAATTTTTATGGGTCAGTATATTGCAAAGTTTTTATCAAAGAATGAAATTCTTAAAAAGTTTAAAAAAATATAGTAGCCAATATGTCTATGACTTTGTTTTCGGTAATTTGTTTAGCTTAATTTTCAAATAATTTTCTTTCTTAGTATTTTTTGTGATTGGGGAAGATGCCATGATGTGAAAAAGAAAAAAAAATCTGTCTAGCATAAACATTTTCTTTTTTACAAAATGAATTAATTTCCTTTTGCCTTTTGAACACAGCACACAACAGCAAAGGTTTCTTCAGCAAGTTCTTTCATTTTGGGAAAGTGTGGGGGGCCACGCTCAGGACCTGAACTTCTTGTACTCTCTCGTCATCATAGTTTGTTTTTTTGTTGTTGTTGTTTTTTTTTTTTTCCAATTAAGTTTTTGTTTTTTCTCTCTTTTTCTGGTTCCACAGGGAAAAAGGGGCAAAAATGAATTCAGGTTAGGGGCTTTACGCACTCGAGCAATCTATTTCAACGATGCCTTTTGGAACTACAGCAAACTGATAAACCAATCTCTGCCCATCCACTTTATTCAAGATACCGCGGGCGTAGTAATATCTAGAAAAGAAAAAAAATATTGAGTTAAGATGACCAGAAAAAAAAAAACATTATCTTAGTCAACAACAAAAACATTCTCTACATTAAGATTTATTTTAAACATAGTTTTTAATTATTTTATTTCTGATTGCATAACATCCATAAAAAAATGGAAGGATTATTTTTTTTTAATCATTTCACCCCAAGCAAGGTAATAAAGCCACTAAGATGCAAGGAGTTGCTGAGTGTGAAAGAATATAAGAAAAAGAAAAACATTATTAAGGAAAGAGAACAATAAAAGAACAGGAAGACAGAAGATAACATTTGGCATTACATTTAAATTTTTGAAGATCAAAATTGATTTGAAAACAAAAAGATGAAAGAGAATACCACAAATGAGAAAAAAAGAGAGGAGAAAATATTAGCATAGAACTTATGGTTACATTTAGCTAATTCTACTATGAAATGATGAAACCTAGCTGCCAATCTAGTACTGCACTTAAATGGTCTTTGATTCAAAGAGGTAGCAACTGTAGTGTTCAGGGAAATGTCTGCATGCGAGTTTATTCCACTTTTGAGCCACTGTAGAGGCGGTGTTAATGTATGGTGCCAATGCCTGGACCTTATCTAAAAACCCTGAGTTTGATGGAACATACAAGCAGGTGCAGAAAGCTATACTTAACATCTCTTCGTTGGTTGGTTGGTTGGTTGATTTTCTTTAGCCGCGAATCAACCTCTATGGGTTATTTAATGCCAAAATCTACATATTTTAGGGATGGCCAACCTTTTGATTCCATGCGCCAATATTTTGTACGATTAATTTAAATACGCCACACAAACATTCACTTCCTTTCAGTACGTGTTGTAATATGGACATATTTTAAAGTTATAATAAAATCTATTTATTTGAAAAATATATGCTTATGACCAGGGGCAAATTCAGGAGTTTTGAAAAGGGGGGGGGATCAATCAATGCTTTGACTTTTTTTTTTCTCTTCAGATTTTGCAGTGGGGGGGGGGGCATGGCAGAGTTTATAATGTTTACATAGGCAAAATAAACATAAATAACTTTAATGTGTCTTTTGATTCTGCTTCGTTTTCGCCAAACCATCAATATTAGGAGTTAAATTCGTAACTGAAAACAACAAACAATTCTTCAAAGGACGTGCAATAAATATAAAATCACTGAAATGAATGAGTAGAAGTGGCTTAGTTTCTTTTCATCAAAAGGATGCAATGCGCCACTTGTAAGCATCCAATGTGCAACTTATGGCGTATGCGCCACAGGTTGGTCATCCTTAATTTGTTCATAATTTTATGCTTTCAGTGTGTTGTAGAGTAGTTTTCACAGTGGAGGCTTGTATTTCAATAAGTCAGTCCTAAATTAGGTTCGACGTACAAAACATTAGGAATTTGAAATAATAGTTAATGACGCAGCAATCTAGTTGTGGTGGTTGATACTTTAATGTCCGACATCGACTGACTTACCAACTCACTGAGAGCTCCCTGGCAACTGCTACTACTACTTATTATATGTGGGAGAGTCTATTAACAATAGAATAGGTATGTTCCGGTATAACACAGTGTGAAGTTTGGTCTTTTTAGATATATAGTTTTTAGGTTATAAAATAATATTATTGGTATTTTTACTATGAAAATGTATTTTTATATTTTTTTAATGTTTCAGGAGGATGTATTCTTGACTTTTCATGAAACCAAAATTCATAAGGTTTAAAACGTACCTTAGGGCTCTACCCATGGTCTCATAATTCATGTCTGGCTTGTTCTTGTGGTGTCCCCATAATTTTGAGACTTCTTTTGAGTCGACCAACTTGAAGATTCCCAGATCTCTGTTAGTCCATTTTATGTACTTGGGACATGTCTCTCGGTTTTGTAGTAACTTCAGCAAAAATTCCCACAAATAAGTTGTATTTCCTGAAAGTACAAAAAAATAAAAATAAATACTTCATTTTTTGGAGGATAAATTTAATTTTTTTTTAAATCCAATATTAAAAAATAGAAACATTAAAACCTGACATTATTAAAATGAGAAAACAAGATACTATTAAAAAACATTAACAATACACTTGATACCATTAAAAACTAGAGACAAGATGCTATTAAAACTGACACTATTAAGTATAAAAAAGGCACAATTGAAACAAGGTCCTATTAAAAACTGAAACTATTAAACAAAACAAATAAGTCACAATTAAAAATGGAAAAATGACGCTATTAAAAACTGGCAATATTAAAAACTGACACTATTAAATACAGAAACAAGACACTAATAAAAACTGACAATATTAAAAACTGACACTATTAAACAAAACAAATAAGTCACAATTAAAAATAGAAAAAAGACACTATTAAAAATAGATACTATTAAAAACTGACAATATTAAAATACAGAAACAAGCTCTAAGTAAGTTTTGCTGGTGACATTACAATTATTGAAAAAGCGAGATGGCAATGATTTCATCCATCCAATATTCCAGACTATGATATATATACGGTGTCCCAGAAGTCGCGCACCATTGAGGTTTTCATGCAAACCGCCTTTGTTAATCATAATAGATGCTCAAATTGTGCACTCCTTGCAATAAAATGAGCATCAATTCTCTTCATCAAATTGTCTTTCACTCTCCTGATGGTTTCAGTGATGATCTTTTGGAACTCAGTTGTTATTGCATCCTTCAAATCATCAAGAGTGTGTGGACGATTCTGGTACACAACAGATTTGTGATGTCCCCATAGGAAATAGTCAAGAGGGATAGACAGATTTTTTTATGTTCTTTTTATAAATCATTACACATCTTCCAGTAACGGAGAGGCTTCAAACCTTTGTTTACTCTTCCACTGCAACAAGGTTGGTGTGCAACTTCTGGGACACACCATATATATATATATATATATATATATATATATATGAAGAAATATAGTCTTAAGATGTGCTATATTTATGGGATAAAGTGCTCAATATCAGAGATAGAGCATGTTTAAATATAAAAGTGAACATTGATGTCAATACTTAGAGGCGTCAGTCTGTTTCATGCTAGATGCAATCGTCAGGCAATCGTGGCCTGACGATTACATCTAGCATGAAACAGTGACGCCTCTAAGTATTGACTTCTATGTTCAATTTTATATATATATATGTGTGTGTGTGTGTGTGTAAATATGAAAGCGGAGACTTTAGAAACGCTTGGTAATATTTCACAAAAGCTTTCATTGGAATATTTTGTATCTCTCTGGATCTATATCCTCTTTGGAATTATCCATATGGATTAACAAATAATATTATCGAAATGTATATATATATATGGTTAGTGCAGATAAAATTTGTTACATTTTTTAATCAATTTACCATAAGCAAGGTGATAATGCCACTAAGATGCAAGGGGCTACTGGGAGTGAAAAAGAATGGAAAAGGGGCTGTAGAAGGAACTGCAAACCCAATCCTAAACAGGAAAGAAAGGATAAACTTCAATAGACCAGGAATGAATGTGAACAGGACTTAGTCGATTAATGTTATATTCAACATTTTTTAAAACTGTTATTACTTTTACTTGTAATAAATAACACTTACTGAAATTATTATTACTTATTATTTGTGGCATATATATATATATATATATATATATATATATATATATATATATATATAACATTAAAATTATTACTTTTATTTGTTGTATGTATAATATATATATATATATATATATATCACTAAAATTAGTATTACTTTATTTATTTGCATTTATTATATATATAACACCAAAATTATTAAATTATTTTTAATTTTATTGATTGTATTGTGAATATATATATATATATATATATATATATATAAAACAATTAATGAAATTATTATTACTTTTATTTGTCATCTTTATAATATTTATTTAAATCAGATAATCAATACAACTACATTTTTCTCCCAAAAGTAATCAAAATATAAAACCAGATAAAAAATCCATACAACATGATATGCCCCCCCCCACTCAACCATCTCCGATGAAAACAAAAACTTGCTATTGCTGACCATAAAAGGATTAGCAAATAAATGACTGAAATTTTTGTTTCTTTCTTAACAGACAGAAGTTAACTTTTTCTCTTTTCCCAAGCTTAGAGCTGGCCAGGAAACACCTGCAAAAGATAACATGTTTATATATATATATATATATATATATATATATATATATATATATATGTATGTATAAAGATATATGACTCCTACCTTCCCTTTCTTTTGGCAGGTAACATTGAGGAATCTGGATTTTTGGGTTTTCGACCTATCAAAACAGAAAAATAAATATTAGATTCTAAAAATAATACAGATTTATACACACACTCCAACATGTATATATAAGTGGACACTGAGGTGAGCACCTGGTGATTTGAAGATTGCATTGAAGCATGAAATTGACTATTGCTATTTGGTGTTGATCACTGTGTCTACACTGCTTATATTTGCATATGCTCTATCTTTGATATTGAGCACTTTTACCCATAAATAAATAGCATACCGTAAAACTATATTTTTTTATATATATATATATATATATATATATATATATATATATATATATATAATTTGAACCCGACTCTTTGATTTCTTGTTCTGAGCCACTATCCATCACACCACCCCACATCCACAAACCACATAGATGCAAAGGGTTACTAAGATAATAGAATGAATGAAACTGATAAACGTAACTGGAGAGAAAGGACAATAAAACAAGCAGGATTCAAGGAGACAGAAGACAACGAATGATGTTGCATTTAAATTAAATTAAATTTAAATTAATAACATTTGAAGTCATAAATATATAGTGATGGAATCTTACCAATTCTTAAAATTATAAAAGCTTAGTGAACCAGTTGTTGGATTATCCAAGAATAATCTTATATATTAATAGCCAATATATAATGGCTAAAAATATAATTAATACCATTACTGTAAGTTCTGCGGAGACTGAAAAAGGATTTTCTCTGATGGCAAAAAAAATTGTCTTGAAGTTAAAAATGTGGCAAATCTTGCCATTTTTATCAAAGAAGTATCTGTTATTTTAATTTACTCTTACAGGACCTTTTCTCCTTTTTCATTTTTAACAGCAAAATTCTTAGGATTTCTTACTTTTGAGCATGCAATATACAACTGGCCATGCATAAATATTTCTTACTGGAGCCAAATCCCAATTTTTTTGAAGCGTTTGGTCTGATGATTTATTTATAGCTATCACAAACGCAAGGGGAATTGGAAACTGGATTCTTGTGTCTATAAAACTTAAAGAAACAACATACAAAAAACAATATTGCATTTTTATCAAAGAAGTATTTGTTATTTTAATGATTAAATTGTTTTTAAACTAGTGGAAGTATTTTGTATGTTAAATAATAAAAATTAATTTTTCCAAAAAATGAATGAAAATTTATTGTACTAACCTATGCACCCAAGTAAAACCAACTGTACTTTGTACCCACTTACCTGTTTGTACTTCTCCCAAAAATTTGGTTTTGATCAGTCAATGTATGGTTATTTGAGAGGGTGTGACTGACAGACTTAAGAGTAGTCACAGAATTTTATATATAGATCCTAGAAAGAAACTGTCCCCCCCCCAACTACCACAAAGTTATTTGATTCTTTTTATTTTCTAGGTTACTCTTATTCTAATCTGTTTCACGGAATCAGAAACACAGTCTGCATCTCAAGAACAAACAAATATTTTAAATGAAATACATGATTACAATAGAAGGTTTTCTGGTGAACCACGGCCTGTAAGTTTCTCAAATTTTTCTATTTCACATACATGCATATACGTATATATTTCAAATATGAAGTATCCACTATAATAATAACATTTGAAGTAATAACAATGTCAGATTAAAAATAAATCCATTAATTCTTTAGAAATTGCTTTGTTTACATTTCGGATACAAAACCTAGCAGATATGAAGCTTTTGAGAAAATAATCCGAGTGAAGAGGATGTGCCCTCCTTAAAAAGGGAAAAAAGAACCTTGCTTACAGCAACATCCTCTGTGGTTTATCAGTAAATCTCATTGGATCAAACAGTGGTTTCCCATACACACACACACACACACACATATATATATATATATATATATATATATATATATATCCACAGACAGACTGCTTCACTCTGTCACAGATCTTCAGTATAGCTAAACATCTGATTGCTTTGAGCCAGGATCAAAACTAAAACCAATTTGGCATCAGTCAGAGATCTTTCCCCTAAGTTATTGGCACACATGAGAGAAAAAGGGAAATTTTATCATTTTCTATATGAAATATATTCAAACACCAGTAGCCAGGAGAGCTCAATTCGTAGTTGAAGAGCAATGTATTAATAGCAGCCACTGATATACTCATTCTTATTTCATTGGCCCAAACAAAAACATTCAACTTATATACTTTTTCTATAAATATTTTCTTGCCGACTACCTTGCTGGAGGTGATCATGATTAAAAAAAAAGAAAACAAAAGTTGTTCTAATGAACTCTCTTTCTTGAGATATTGTCCAGATGAATTTAAGCATACTACTAGATTGGCAGTTAGGTCTCATTGTTTTACTATTGAATTAGCTAGATATAACTCTAAGTTCTAGAGTATTTGTTACTTTTCTCACACTTCTCGCCTGTGTAACTACTTGTCAGGTTTTTGCTTCCCTGCAACAAACAATCTTCAAAAATTTAAATGCAACATCAATCGCCATATTCTATCTTCCTGAAACTTGTTCTTTTATTGTCCTTTGTCCTCACTAAAGTCTTCTCATTCTCTATCATTCAATAACCCCCTTGTGTCTTAGTGGCTTTATCACCTTGCTTGGTGTGTAATGATTAAAAGAAAAAAAAAGTGTATACAAACAATTCTGTACACACACAAATGTGTACACAAATCCACACTTAATAGGTACTGTTTATAAAAAAGCAGTCTTTTAAAAAAAACCTGCTGGCACACACAACAACACACTTCCTCTGCCTAGGTTTAAGTGCAAGTGCAGTTAAGTGAAGAGAAGAACACTTTAACAATAGCAGGGGAGAAACAAAGTTTTAGCCATGAGTCTGAAGCGAAAAAACAAATAATAGATTTGGGGAAAAAAGAAAGAAAAAGCCACGCAGAAAAGTAAAATGTTTTTTAAGTTGGAAGAAAAGCAAAAAAACCAAATCTAAGAAAATATTGCACGCATAAAAGCCAAAAAGGAACAAAAAAAAAGAAAATTCAAAGAACAGAATTATTCCAAGACTTCTTTAGACTATTGAAGTCTTTTATTGCATTATATTTGGCTGATCTGTTTGACAGTCATCCACACTGATAAAGACAGAAAGAGATCACTTTTTCATATACATTAAAACTAATATCTTGATCATTATTATTATTAAACTAAAT